AAAAAAAAAAAAAAAAAAAAAAAAAAAAGCTTTTCCTTTTATGCAGCTTGTTCCCCAGGGTCTCCAGGACACGCATTTAGAAATGCAAGGCATATGCTTTCCCTGTTTGCTGTACTGTCTGCAGGGCCTGTATGTATTTGATATAGATATATCTCTATGTCTGTCTGTCTGCGTTGAGATGATGCCTTCCCCCGAAGCAATTGTTTAATAGATAGATTACTCCATAATTATCATGCATACAACACATTTTGATACTTGTTTCTGACATCAGATCCTCTGTATCTGGTTTTACTTCTGGCACAGAGAGAGATTTTTTGATTTTGACCGGTATCATACAAAGCTCTTTTTATTCTGTGTATTTTTTTTCTTAAAGCAGGTAACATTTTCCTGTCACTGTCTTTCCCCCCACAGGCCAAAAGCAAATGTACTGTCATGAGAATTGGTCTCTGTCACGTGAGGAATTTGAAATATGGGACAGACTTTACAGGATTAAGGAAAGTGATGGAATAAAGGAACCGGTGCTGCCGCAAAGTCGGTTTGAAACCTTAGAAAACCTGGAAGAAGTAACAGTGAGTTTAACTGGAATGTAATGTTTCCTTAGACTTGAGGCCTGAAGGATACCCTAAGTAACAAAGTTAACTACGAATTTGAAGGAGGTTTATCTTAAAAATGCAATTTTTGAGATTTATATGTAGGTTTTTGAGGTTAAGAATTTAGGACTTAGATGTTTGTAACGGGTCTTTGAGGTTAGGTCTGTAAATTAAAAATACATTAAAAAGTCTCGCAGTATCCGTTGAGTTCTGTTCCTGTTTCTAAGAATTCCATGCAGGATGCTGTGTTCATGATGGTTCTGTATCCACGCTTTTTCATTCCCTTGGTTCTGTAACTGTAAAAGTGTTACTGAAAGAAAAGCTCAAGTTCTCTTTTCTTAGTCAGAGAAAAACTTTGGGGCTTTTGTCGTTTCACCACTTAACCTCTCTTCCATGGAAAGCTGTGACAACACAAAGCATGGAATTGTTTTTATTTAAACCAGACTTAAACATTCGTGACAGCGCTTAGATACTTTTCTGCATTCACAGTATTTATGGTCCTTGACAGAGAAATAGACATTAGTGTGGCTAAACAATTTCTTTATTAAAATCTCCTTGCCGATCTTAATTTCAAACCGCAGAAGCATGAGGAGGAGGCAACTCATGAACTTTCCTTGTCTGAATGGAGGATTTGGCAGAATCGTCCTTTTCCTACAGCTATGGTTGATCACTCGGATCGTTGTTACCATTTCATCAGCGTCATGGAAATGATAGAGCTGATGAGAGACGAACAGGTAAGGTGCTTACGTTTGGCTGGCTGTAAACATGCACAGTTAGGCTATTTAAACGTAATATGTGCTCTAGTTCTGTCTGGCCAGCTGAAACAGAAAGTGGGGAAGTGTTTGCGTGGGGCTGTTAGGCATCATGAAAAGGATAATGTGTGTTTAATTTTGTTTCAAAACGTCTCCCACTGATATTCTGTAATTTTGACCTTTTCCACAGAAGGTGTTTAAATTAGTGTTTCCCTACACAGAAAAAAAACCACAAAACCCACCCATAAATAGTTCTTTTTTTTAATGGATCCAAGTACTGTTTTTTTACAAAAAGACATTAAATATGAGAACTATATATGTCAAGGAGCAAAGTCACCAAGAATGGCATTAGAACTGTTGGCGATAATTTGGTATCACATACGTACCTCTAATGCATCCCATTAAAATGATGCAGGAATGCATTTCATGTTTTAAGGTGGTTGTGTTTTGAGGCTTTTTGGGTTGTTTTCTGTGAAAGCTTTAATTAAAAACCTAATTGCTCCTGAGAATTAAAGGATAAGAGGAGGGCAGTCAGATAAACGTGGCTGAAAACCATTTGGGAGAGGAGAATTTTGTTCACTACCAGTTATGGATAGCAGATATGCCTTTATAGTGAAAGGCAAATACAAGAAAACGTGTGTAGTGGTGGATCTGTTGACAGTACTGCAGACATCAGTTGTTCACCACACTTTTCTCCTCCAGTTCAGCTCTTCTGGGTTCCACACATAACTGCTTTTAGTGTGTTGATGTTTTCTAGGTTATCAGAATCCGTTGCTAAGCTGGCCGTTCCCTGAAGGACTAGACTAATCAAGGAAGAGAACAGAGACATTGTAGCTGTACTCCTGGCTAGGAAGGTGTGTTAGTGGAAGGTTGTTAGTAGACTTTCAGAGCTGAGTTTCTCCACTTTGTCACAGAACAATGGTGTTCTTGACTTCTTCCAGAGCCTGTGTTCCCAAGCTAGGGTCAAGAACATACTGCCAGAGAGAGAGAGGATTCTGGGGAGAGTTCAGGTGTAGAGAGCCCAAGGTAGTTGAGAGACAAAGAAATGGTTAAAAATTTTAGAATTGCTCTTCTAACTGAGGACTTCCCTCCCCACCACCAAAGCCAGCACATGAAGTACTGGTGACTTAAGTGCCTTTTGTGAAAGTGTATCGATATCAGAAGCCTCTTCAGGTCCTCAGGTGCCTTCAAACCAACATCTGGCAACCTTAAAATAATGTACAGCGCAGATTTGTTAATCAACAAGTGAGTCTTCTGTCTTCTCCTCCCAACTCTGCCAAAGTGAGTGTCAAAATATTATAAGCAAAGCGGAGTTTTGCGGAACTTTTACAGAGAGATCTGGCTACTCACAGGAGTGAGACAGCCCTGCTCACTTAGCAACAGAGGGGATCTCCCTTAACAGGCGGGACCCCAAACTGTGGCTTTTTACACCGTGATCATCACTTTCCGTTCTGCTGAGCTCTGGTGGGCATGGTGCTGCATTTCTGTGGAGTGGTGCTGACACGTGCCATCGCTCGCAGCACACGAGCTCTCCCCGGGTGCTGTGGAGCTGCCCTGTGTTAGCACATTGTTATGCTGCAGAGCCTGCAGACGGAGTCGTGGAAAACACTGGAAGACCTGCATCAGAAAAGAAGGGATACAGCTATTAATTGATAACAAGTAATAAACTTGCACTGTTTCTAACAGCTAAATGTCAGCTTAATCATGATGTACTGTAGGTATTGCTCTCACAGTTGGAACATTGTGACGGTCTGTTACCTCATTCAGCTGCCTCCCAGCTCAAAGTTTCAGGCTTCATCTGGACTGATTTCCAGCCAGCCTTCTCTGATCTGTCTTAACTAGTCGTAGGTGGAGACGCTGAACTTTCTCACCAGTTAGAGGAGAAATCGTAACTGGATGTCACTGGCATGCTGAAAACACCTTCTAATGACTCCACTGAATGTGAGAGGTTACAGCATGACACATCACTCCACCCTCTTGAATTCTTCTAGGGAAAAACAGAGTGCTAGCAGGAATTCTGTGCATGGAACAGGAGCTCTGCCCATGTCTGACAAGGCTGGTAGGACAGAGGCTGTAATCAACACTGACACCCAGTTTTTAAACTTCGGTGGTTCTTGGCCTCTCTCTTACATCTAAACCAAATTGTTAAGGTTCAGGGACATCAAAGCTTCACCATAACTGTTTCACAGAAGCAAAGATGCAGTGGGTCTTTGTCAGCACTAACCTTGTAAACAAGTTGTATTAATGTTAAGTTCTCCTTGACTTATCTGAAAGGCCCCGAGACATTTTTATAGCTGACCCTGACTGTCTGCACCTTCGGCAAGTTGGCAGGTGACACCAGGTGAGGGGAGGCAGGTGACATGCTCCCTGCATGTCCAGAGGTCCCTCAGCAGGATGGCAGAGACCTCACGACAGGGCCGTGAGAGCAGTGGAGCCCTTGGGGCAGCAAAGGCCACAGCCCCCCAGCCCCTTAGCAGGAGAGTGGCCAGCTGGGCAAGGGAAGCGGTTGTGCTTGCCCAGGGCACGGGCAGCTCAGGACAGGAGCTGAGCCCGAATTAACGTGTCCCCGGCGCGTTACGCACAGCCAGTGCACACCCACAGGCTGGGCTGCGCCTCGGGCAAGCGTGGTGTTCACGGGCTGCTTCTGACGTTCTTGTGGAGATTGTCTCCAGAGCAAGTTTCCACCTTCAGAAGCTTTGCTTTACCTAGTGCTGAGGTGTGTTGTGAACCGTAGGAAGCGTTAAACAGCGGATAGCATAAAGACTGAGTCCAGCCTCTGGGAAATTACCTTTAGCAGAAATTAAAACTGTAAAAATCTAGCTAAAACATTAGTCTTGGATAAAAACAAGTGGATAGAAACAGAAATTGTTTTAGCAGTGATTCAGAGGGTTTTGCGTGTACGTACTGTGCATCCAGGTTCCTCTTATAACTATTCTACTGCCAAATATACCACTGCTAATTTGTCTGATGTTAATTTATAGTTCCTCATAGCGGAGAGATTTAAGACAAATACAAGTCAGACTGTTTCCTCAAATAACTAAGATATTGAACTTCAAACCACAGTTCTAGTAATTATTTTCTTACTGAGGGGAAAAAATATAAAACCAGACAAAGCATTATTTTACTATGAATAACCAAATGATCTGGAAGTTTCTGATGAGACTACTTATTTCTTGGGAACGATCTCATTCAGATATTAGGAGTAACCTAACACGAGCCAGCTCAGGAGGTATCTGTGTCCTTTATGGGTGCTTGCTTTTTCTATTACAGAAGAAAGCTTGGGAACTCACTGATGTGTAGCTTTCCTTAAAAAAAAAAAAAAAAAAAAAGGTCAATTAAAAGGCTTAGATATTTTTAAATAGATGAAGTGAAAATGCCTGGAAAAAAAGGATTTTTTAAAAATTGTATTTATATGCTCTTAAAAACTTAGAGAAGAAGTTGGCACAATCAAAAGAAAATAAAAAAGCAAAAGAAATCCCAGCTACAAACCCTGCGACAGGCACATCCACTGCAGAAAAGCCTTTAATGCCTGTGTGGCTTTATTACTACAGCAACGAGAACGGGGCAGATGGGATTGGATTTTCCACTTGCCACGAGCGGGGATTTTTTGTGTAACATGGTAACAAATCAAGTTGTCCTTATGCAAAATAATTCAATAGCTTTTAAGCATTTTTGAAAATTAAACTGTATTGTTTGGAAACAAGGTCAGGACAAAGTAATCATTTTTATTGAAATTATATTTGTCCAAGTGTCTGAGGATAAGTAGCAGGAAATACTGAAGTGCAAATGCATTTTTTTTCCGGAAGGAAGGCAATTCTGAATGTCTTTTTAATTGTCAGATGTGGGAGGATGACTGTGGGTATCTGTTTCCCACTTCAAATTGACAGTGGGGAGTTACAGTCAGATTAATTAGTCTCCCTAGAAAGACAAAAGAAAACCCAAAGACTCCCATTAGAAGGATTGCTTCTCTTTTTCACTCAAGTAGTCTCTGATACCAAACACCTTGGGACACGGGGTTTAGAAGATGAACCTGAAACAGCTGCCACTAAAATCGTCTGTCACTTACCATCTGTCTTGGGTCGCCTTGACGGATTCATTGGATGAAATGCACGATAGCAGGGAAAATGTCCCCAGGATACCCTGAAATTCCAAACAACCTGAAAAGGCTTTCCATGATTTAGAAGTTTTAAATCAGGGGTGTTCTGGCGGGAAAATGGAGTTTTTTCAGCCAGCTGTGACTTTTTTTTTCCTGGAGACACCAAATGCAAAGTTAAAAATGATTTGAATAAAGACAATGAAATATTTTTATTTTTGTTTTAGACGCTCATTGCCTCAGGTTAAAATCCTGATCTGAGATGTGGCAAGACTTCTTCCCCAGCCAGCAATAAATCATTTAAGACAGCAAATGACATTTAATTACAGTGTTTATGGTGGGTGGCCTAACGCATCTGTGGAACTGCTGCCTTGAGCTGTGGGACACTGGTTCTTGTTTGGGCACTGAATCTGGCTGAAGCAGCAGAGAACAGATCATCCAAGCCAATACCCTGTCCTGGGATTCTCAAAAGCAGGCTGTGCAGAGGTGGCCCAGCTTGTTCTTTATTCCAGAAAAGCCCGAGGGGAGCATGCTTCCCAGCGTGAAGGTGCAAGGCCGTGTGGTTTGTTCTTAGGGACAACCTGCGAGACCAAAAATCCCACTTCTCCAATTAAAATAGTTTCTTTGTGCCATATTGATTCTTCTGATCTTGTTGCCAATTGATTTGAGTCCGAACGCTAATTGAGACCCGGGTTAGATTGTTCAGACCTTTAATTGCAGGTTTTAATGATCCTGGGGGGTTTTGTGCTCTCAGTGAGATCAGAGAAGTCAGAGTGATTAGGCAAAGGCTTGGGGGGTGTCAGCCGTGGGCAAGGGACGGGGGGATTGAGCAGATTGTGTGGCACCGGGAGGGGTTTAGCTGGCTCAATTTGAGACACTATCTGCAGTG